TTTCTGAGTTCCACACTCTCCCTTCCCACAAACATAAACTATAGTTTAAAAGAGTACTTAATTATACACTGGTAATGTTGCTAGAGAACTTGGCAGACGGTCTACTTTTAGAAGCACCGCACATAGATTTATATATCACATTTTACATAATGAAGACTTTTTCCCACCTCTTACCAAAGCAAAGTAATAATAATGATAATAATAAGCTTCTTAAAAGAAGGATGGGGTTATATCAGGAAGGCTTAGTGAGCTGAGACAAGGAACAAGTTAAGGGCGTTGCAAGTTAAAGGGTGGGTGGTGGGTACACTTCAGATAGAAGGTAAAAGACTTAAGATTTTGTAGCCCTAGTCAGATCATATTAGTGGGGTATTTTTGGGGTTTTTTTATGTTTTTTATTTATTTCTAGGAGAGAGAGAGAGAGAGACAGCGTGAGCAGGGGAGGGTCAGAGAGAGAGGGAGTCACACACTGAAACAGGCTCCAGGCTCTGAGCTGGCAATCAGCACAGAGCCCGACGCGGGGCTCGAACCCACGAACTGCGAGATCATGACCCAAGCGAAAGTCGGACGCTTAACTGACTAAGCCACCCAGGCGCCCCAGATCATATTAGTGTCTAAAACATCCCAGATTCTCTGCATTGTTTAGAGAAGGGCACAAAAGCTAAACATATGCCCGAACTTAGCAGCCTTACTTCTGGATTGCACCCATGTAGGGTTTCATATATGGTGACGCTCCACTTCTCAATCTCCAAAATAAGGTATAACTTAGACCATTGTTTGCGTAATTGAGCACATGGGCAACGATTCCTACTTTTCCTATTGTTTGAAATGAAATGATCAGAAAAGCAGAACTCCATGCTTCCAAGTCTGTTTGCTATGTGGTTGCTGTTTCTGAGAAGGCTGACTTGCTTGAGCCCTTTCGTGAGAAAGCCTTGAGCCCTTTCGTGAGGATATGCTAATCTGATTACTTCTGCCTGTGTGCCTAGGTATGTGGCAAGATGGTCCCTTTACAAAACGATCTCCTATGCAAGACATAGGCAACATGGAGGATATTTCTTTGGCGTTGACTACACAAACGATTCTATGCCACTTCTAAGCCTAGCCTTTAAGACTGATTGTTTCTGTCTTGGTTTCTTAGAGACCTGAGCCACCTGAGCCACCATTTTCGTCGAGAAGTAATACAAATAAACCTTATGCTTCCATTGATAGGGAGAGGTTCTACCTAAGATCGGCCTTGAAGACCACAGCCATATAAATGAAGCCATCTTGGACCCTCCTGACAAATCCACCTGCCAGTTAAACAGCCATGATGACTCCAGTTGATACCCAAGAGGCATTGCTCATCTCAGCCCTTCCCACATTCCTAAACCACACATTGTGTAACTGAATGTAATTGTCATTTGCAAATAGTTTGTCTAACAGCAACAAATAAATGAAGCACTTGTTAAGCAGAACTTGTCTCTTTTGTCAGTAGTTAAAAATGTAATTCTTTTATATATGCAACTTCCCTCCACAGTCATATTATTCAGGAATGAACTAGAAACTGGTCATTTAGAAGCTGTTTTTTGATAAAGACATGATGAGAATTCTTACTTAAAAAATGTGATCATTTGGGGGATGTGCTATATTCAGGCCTCATCTTCTCAAGGTAGCTGCTATTACATTGAGCTATATAAGGGAATGTGGAGCAAGTAAATAAAGAGCATCTGAGAAAGGTCTCAAAAATAACTTTTAGTGTGGTTACTCAGAGATGAAACTGACTAGAAGTAAAAAATAAGAAAGCTAATAAGGTTTTGAAGAAATTAAGTTGTCAGAGAACATTACCTTCATCTGAAAATTCTGTTATTTATCTTTTTTTTATTTTCGGTAGGTCTAGGACAGCTCTCAGTAGGAAATGGGCTATAGAAGGTGCAGAGGTCCTAAAGAAGACATATACCCCTACAGCCATGTTTGATATGCCTGGAAAATAATAAACATGGAGATGCATTTGGGAATTTGCTGCTTTTCATCAAAAAGTTTCACTTTTAAGGAGGAGATTCTTTACTCATCGATTGATTCAATCTGAATGTGTTACATCCACTATGAACTTATTGAACTGTTTGTTTTAGATATTTAACAATGACTGATGGATTGCAACTGATGGATTATAATGACTGATTAATTGAAAATTATTAAGCTCAATTGTAGATTTTTTTTCTATTTCTTCCTTTGATTCTGGTAGTTTTTGCTATATGTATATTGAAGCTCTCTTATTAGATATATTCACATTTAATATTAGTATATCTTCCTGGTAAGCTTTCCTTCTTATCATGATAGAATGCTCTACCTTATTTTGGGGCATAAGCCTTATCTTAAAGTATACTTTGTCTAGTACTTTTTCTTATTGTTATAGTGTGTGTGTCATATTTTTCTATTTTTTTGTTTTCAACTTATCATATAGACAGTATGCAGTTCAGTCTTGGCTTTTTAACTTTTAACTTTAATTTTTTAAGCCAGTCTGAAGCTTTCTCCCTTTCATCGGAAATTGGTCCATTTATACTTAATGACATTATATACACACTTAAATCTGTATATCCCATCTTAGTATTGATATCTTTTGTCTCCATCTGTTCTTTCTCTCTTCCTCTTAGGAAAAGAGCTAGATTTATTTGTGTGTGTGTTTTTTTAATTCTGATAAGACGAGATTGAACGTTTTACTCCACCATGTCACAAACATCCTCTCACTTAACACATTTCCTCCAGTTTTATGTCAAAAACATCACTGTGTTCCATCCTGACATCCACGTCTGCCCATGAGATGCAGCTGAGAGAAGATACTGCACCATTAGTTATTCTCCTTCACACTGTTCTGCACGTGTGTCAACATCTTTTACCTACATGCATAAAACCAGGTGTTAATGCCACATATCATCATAGTGAGTGACTCATTGTATCCAATATAATATCAGCAAATACATCATCAAATACCATGCTTAATCAAGTGCAGCTAGATGACTAGAGTCTAGTACTTCTGTTAAAGAAGAAAATGCAGTTAGTCTGACATAACTTAGAATTTCTGAGGCTCTCCTCTCTTCTTGTTTTGCACATCCCCCAAGGTTCAGTTCATCTTTCTCCCCTAAATTCAGTTTTTCCATAAATTAATCCCTGTGTATGCTACTCTTCTGGACAATTCTCTCTCATTTGTGTCCTGCTGATCATTTCCACAGCACCTACCTTCATGCAGACCATTTCACACTTGTGTCACCTCAGTCACATCTTGGCACGCATCTCTTCTCCACTTTCCAGCCTTTGCCCCATGAACATACAGCATTGCCTAGAAGTAGAAAGAAACCCAAATTCTCAGGCACCAACCCAGATTTACCAGCCCAGTAACTCTGTTGGTGCATTCTTGCAATCACTGGTGATTTGGAATCACACTCAGATATGAGGACCCCTGCTGTACACTAAAGATGACTTCAAACAATCCCTTCCATCAGTGCATTACCTTTAACACCAATTTCCTCTTTCCACTGAAGCTGCTGATTGAATAAGAGCCATACTACTATCTAGAAAATCCAGAATATTATCTCTATCTCAAGTAATGCTTACAGTTTTGAAGTAAATCCAATTTTATCTTTAGATTTTTGTTACTACTAAATTGGAGGGGGTGGGGAACATTAGCCAAAATAGATGAATCAACATCCAAGAGTGCCCTGGCATCAAAATTGACAAGAGATGATCTACTCGAGTAGTCTATATACTCGAGCAGTCTGTATACTATGATGCATGGGCCAAATCTAGACCCTTCCTGATTTCTGTGAATAAAATTTTACTGCAACACAGTCAAGCTTACTTTGATTAATTTATTTATTAATTAGTGGTATTATTTAATGGGTGTGTTTGCATTACAGGAGCAGATTTGAGCAGTTGTAACCATATGGCCTGCAAAACCTAAAATATCTGGCCTTTTACAGAAAAAGTTTTGACCCCTGATTGACATTGTCACCAGGTATTCATTCAACATATGTTTATTACACACACACTATGAAACAGGCACTGTTTCAGGCACTGCGGATATAGAAGAGAATCAAGGACACAGACCTCTACAATCAAGCGACATATATTAAAATGAGGGAGGGTGACTGAAAGTGAACAGCATACCAGTAAATAATTTATATGATAGTTTCAGAAAGTCATTTTTGCTGTGAAGAAAACGAAGTGGATGAAATGATAGAAAGTGACTGTCGGAGACATCACCATTAGGTGCCTCTCCAAAGAGATGGCATGGAGCTAAACTCTCAATGACATGATAGCATGATAAAAGAAAACAAGATGTGCAAAGTTCATGGGAAGGAAATGACCTTGATTTGTCTTAGAAGCATAAAGAAGACCACCCAGGCTGGAGCAAAGTAAGTCCAGGGAAGATATGGGGCCCTGGCAAAATGTTTGCAAGGCTCCTGATCAATGACAAATTGTATTCTTTCATTTCCACTGTGTCTCATAGAAGGAAGTGTATTGATTAGAAGCTGCTTACTATTCTTTTGTGTGCTAATGATTTATGTTGGTTGTGCTGCAAGCATAAATGATTTTTACATCAATGGTGAGAAAATTAGGAACTTCTGATTAAAAATTTTAAAAAAAGAGCAAGATTAATGTCCTGTTTAGATGCAAGGTTGAAATATTGCTCCTTACTCATCTCTACCTTGATCAGGCTGCTTAAGGTGGCATCATTAAGCCAGACCTTAAAATTTTCCACTTCCCTAAACTTAGTGACATGAACCAGTACAAAACAAAACCAAACAAAATAAAACTCAAAGACCATCAGTAACCAAGCAATGGAAAGAGCCAATGACTTGAACATGGACAAGAAATAAGCTTAAGAATGCATACACATCTCCTTCTATAATTTTTATGGAAGAATGCATTGAGTGTAGGTGCATAATGGGAGATGGTGTTTTGTTAGGAAGAAGAAAGTGTGTTAATGGAACACTAAAAATTCAAGTTAAGAATCAACAACTTTATTAGTGCTTGTGTTGGTAGCACATATACTAAAATTAGAAGGATACAGAGAAGATTAGCATGACAGCAAGGACAAACATGCAAATACATGAAGTATTCCATATTTTTAAAAAATGGCCAAAGCAGTTGCATAGAGATTTCTCCAAAAATGATACACTAATGGCCAACACACATGTGAAAAGATGCTCAACATTAGTAATAACTAGGTAGTTGCAAATTAAAACTACAATGAACTGTCACCTCATGCCTCTTGGGTACTCTCCGTGGGAATGAAAAAAAAAAGGTGCAACCACATTTCATATAAATAGCATGGAATTTTCTCAAAAAAGTAAAATAAAACTAACAAATGATCCAGCAATTCCACTTCTATAATCCAAAAGAACTGAAAGCAGGATCTAGAAGAAATATTTATACAGCCATGTTCAGAGCAGCACTGTGGGCAATAGCCAAAGGGCTGAAGTAATCCAAGCATCATCAATGGATGCATGACTAGATGGTAGAATACTATTTAGCCCTAAAAAATGAAGGAAACTTTGATACGAGCGTTACATGTAGATAAACCTCGAAGACATTTTGCTAAGTGACATAAACCAGTCACAAAAAGATAAATATTGTATGATCCCACTTATATGAGGTATGAGTAGTCAAATTCAGAGACAACAAGTAGAATGGCTGTTGTCAGGGGCTGATGAGAGAGAAGGGGAGTGACTGTCTAATAGGTATAAAGTATCGATTTTGCAGAACAAAAAGGTTTATGGGGACAGACAGTGGTGGTGGCTGCACAACAATGTGAATGTATTTCACCCGACTGAACTGCTAATTTATAAATAGTTGAGAAGACAAATATGTGTATTTTACCAAAATAAATGGTTTTAAAAATATCAATAACTTGCAGAAAAAAAAGAAAACGTGGTATCAACAGATTAGAACAGAGATGGGGATATTGTGGATCAGGTAAAAGAGTAGGTTGGCTTGTTAATATAGCACAAAAATGCCATGTGGATATAAAGGATTTTTCACTCCTCAGGTGGGGTAAAGAGGTGAAGAACATAGAAAATCGTGCTCTCTAAACTGCTCAGATTGAAAAAAAACTAACTTAAAAATTATTTCCCTGCCTTCTAAGAAAGGGCTAATGTGAAATAATCACATACAGATTCTTGTTTTCTCCTTTTCACGCATATTGAGAACGAGAAGCTTGAAATTAGCAAAAGGTGACCACAGCCCTTTATGATTTGACTCTGTTTTATGGTTTAAAGTTAAGTTCATGTGTATACTTCTTTGAAACAGCATTATCAGTATCACTTTAAAGATGAACAAACTGAGGGCAAAGAGACTGAAGATGTGTAAGTGGTAGGAATTTCCAGTGAAGGTGAATAATTGCCTATTTCTGTCGGGGTCTAAAACTTGAGGACTTGGTACTGCATCACTACGTGTCTTTTCTTGTAACTCCTATTAGAACCCAATTTCTCCATGCGTCTGAATGGACTTTGGAAATGCAGAGAATAAAAGACACCAAATCACAGGAAGCTCTTTATAAACTCCCCTAAACTATCTCCTTTCTACATGGCCCACCCAGAGAGTTTATTCTTTACTGTTTTCCTCAGCGTTGGTTGTAGTCAAAGATTTCATAAATGGCTATGCTACAGGAGACAAAGCCCCACCTTGCGTTAGAAGATGTGGATTCACTACCTGGTTCTCCCAATGCCAAGGACATTAGTGTGGGCAAGGTTCAATTGCTGCAATGAAGTTTCCTCATCTGTAAAATGATCTTATGTACCTCAAAATGTTGTTGCAGCAGTTAAGGGAAATAACATGTATGCAAGCGCTTTAAACAATAAAATAGTATGGCAATGCAGGCTTTAATTTTCATCTAAGTCCTTTATAAATCCAGCAGGAAGGATCTTAACCAAAAGTTAGAGATCACAAAAAAACCCTTTCAAAAATCCTAAAAATAAGGTTGTTGCGGACGAAATGACACAAAGGACAAGACACACACAAAGGACAGACACAGACACAACTCCGGCCGGAGGAACAATTCTACGCAAGCCCCTCTTGCGGTTTATTTTATACCCCGGTAACTGGATACAAACTGAAATCTACAAGATGCATTCCTTTACCAATTAAGGGCAAGTAGCCAAACACATTTCAAGGACGGGGGGAGCAAAGGGAGGAAGCGACCACAACATGTTTACTAAGAGGCCTGCCCACAACTCCAGCCTTCTCCCTACTTCTAAGGAGGGCATGTTCCCTCGTGTGCGAGTGGACCATTAAACTTGGATATTGTGTGCAGGCCTCCTGGCAGAGCATTCTGTTTGCAGGCATGCTTTGCCCAGGCAGGGAGCCCCGTGTGCAGGCACATCCCCGCGTCCCTAACCACGCTTTCTTGTGGTTACTGTTGTGCTCCCACATAAGGTCTTTTAATGCATTATCTGTCACAATAAAACACTCAGAGATTAAAAATGAGAATATTCCTTTAATAATTTATTTTGAGAGTAGTATGGAAATAAGAGAGGTTTTCTGCCCCCAGAAGAATCAATGTTCTAGGTCTTAATTTCATATAAAGGAAACATATTTTCCTTATTTTTTGCATAAGAAATCATAATTTGGAATCATAGAATTTCACAGTTCAGTCGACAAGTATTTATCTGTAAAAAAATGAATAATGAAAACCCGGATTCTGAGAGATTCAGTATTGTTTCATGCTGGAAGATTAGGGGCCAATCTGGATTCTAATTACTTCTGTAGATGGTTTTGATCAAGTTCTCAAACGTTTAGGACTTCCTTTTCATATCTTTTAAAGTGCGGAACAATTCATTCCTGCTTTAATTTGGATTCTCCACTAACAGTGACTGAGACACGGACTCAGATACAGTTACGACAGAAAGCAGGGTGAGGAAGATAGGACAATGAAACAGTAAGGGAAGAGAAGGTAACAAAAGATGCATGCCTAAGCTAGTTAAAAAAAAAAAAAAAAAAAAAAAAAAAAAAAAAAAAAAAAAAAAAAAAAAAAAAAAAAAAAAAAATCCTACATAGAAGGCATCTCAAAATGATCCCTCCATTGAAGGAAGGCTGAGGTATTTACCCAATGACTCCTTTCCCCCGTTAGTAGAGGACTGTCCCAATCTGCATCTACATGCCTGCTAAGTGGCTCTAAGGCTTCAGAAGAAGTCTGAGAGATAGGAGAACAGAGAGCCTCTGAAGGCAGTTGCGGGAGACTCTGACCAAGGGCACCAAAGACAAATGGGTGTAGTGCACAAAAGAATGTCTTGTACCTTATTGGTTGCTATGAGGAACCAATATCTAAATTCGTATGGATGTACCTAGAATGATATTCCAAAAATTGTAAAACACCATAAATGGCAACTGGTTCCTTTATTAGACTAAGAGATGTGTTTATAGAGACTACTAATTGATAGGAATTTTACTCTGGCCCCTGAATGCTTTTTTTTTTTTTTTTTTTTAATCCTGGTCCTTCTCTTCTGTATTCTATTGCCAACTATATCTTTCCATGGTTTGCATAGATATGTCTCTGTGCAAACATGATCACTCTTCTCTTCTCATTAGCAATTTCTAGAATTTATTATCTCATCTATGTAGTCTTATTTAAATGCCAACCCATTGAAAAACAAGATCAAGTACTTCATTCAAGTTAGCATAACTGTGAGGGCCTAGAACAATTTTATGTATAGGATGATGTTTAATAAATATTATGCTTTTCAACATGGTTATAAAGCGAATGTCTTTCAATTGCCCTCACCACGGAGTTTTACCACTGTTTAAAACACATGGCCTTATTACTTCAATGAAAATTCAAATTCATAGCTCCCATTAGCATTGCAGACAATTTCTGGCCTACTTTCCCTGGATATTAATGGAAGTTCAGATCTCTTAATGATCTCCTCTTGGTACAGGAGGAATTTTGGTATTTTCATAAACTACTGTCCCTCTTTTAGCCTAGGGCTAAAGAGAAAACAGTCACTATGCTGGTCAGATAATTTCAAAGATACCTAACTGTCGGAGGTGGGGCGGGGGGGGGGGGGGAGCCACGGTGCACTGCACAAACAACAAATGCATAGTCATTTTTGGTGTATTTCTATGCCAAATTTAACTTCCTGGGCACAACTTTCACGTGGTCTCCTCTTCTCTTGCTGATTCACTTTTCAGTTTCCTCCTTTATTTCATGGTGGGTTATTTTTTTGTTGTTTTTTTTTTGTTTGTTTGTTTGTTTGTTTTTTAACTTTCAGACAACAGCAGGGCTCAACATTCGGAAAGATTCTCTTCTTCATCAATCTCCATTCACTTGGCAGCCCAGCCTTCTCTCCTGAACTTCAGGAGCCCATAACTGATTGTGTTCTCAGTATCTCAACTTTGATGGTGTGATAGAATAGACTTTTGCAAAAGCCACTGGCTCTACTCTGGCTCTGCATACCTCTTTGCAAGATGACCCTGATGGCCCTATCAAGAGGTTGGATCTTCTTTGCCCCATTGAATCTTGGCTGAAATCATAACTGTATTGACTAATTGTGTGCGGTGAATGTGACCTTGTGGAACTGGCAAGCCAAGAACTCAAAGGAACGTCAGTTACCATATTTTCTCTTCCTTCTCTGAAATTTCCACATAAAAAATCCTGGAATTCCCCTAGATCCGTCCCATCTGAAGTGCCCTAGTTCAGCCAGCACCCAATTAATCCATCAACCTATTACAGCCACAAGTGACCCCAGGTAAAGCCTGTTCAACTACTCAACTGAGTTCAGACCCAGTTGCCAACACAAAGATTCATAACCAAAACCCATTCCACAAAGTTTTGTAGTGTTTGTTACATAGTAATAGGTATCTGATAAAGATGTTGATGAGATCTCGTTAATTTAAGATAGGTAAGACTGAACCTTTGGTTCTGTCCCCTAACCCTAGGACTTCACAGTTTCCCTTTTAGAAGTCATTGGCCATTTCAACCTTATAATTCCTCAGGTCAAATATTTTACAAACATCTTTGCAACCTTTCCTTCTCTCATGTCCAAACCATCAACAAATCTTGTCAGCTCTCTCCTAATTCCCCAAATTGGAGCACTTCTCTCTATTCTCCATTGCTTATATGCCACTTCAAGGCA